GGTTGGCTGTACACGGTTTGGTTTGGCTTTCATTACAGTTGCGCACCATCTCGATGTGGGCGGTATTGTCAAAAGCCATGCAGCCCCACAATCTGAAAATGTAACGTGATGTGATTTGTATGTGACATAAACACAACAACCTTGACTTCTGCTCTGTTGTCAGACTCAGAGTGAAAGAAGAGAGTCAGAGAAGGCTGCAGGCAGCAAGACGAAGCACTCTGGATCAGTACAGGAGAGAGAGGGAAGCCATGGAGAAGTATCAAACTGAAGGGTATAAGTTAATGCAACCTAATGCTAGCTTGCTATAGTGCTCATATACACAATAAGCCCAGCATACAATGATTTAACGGTTAAAGATATCATTCATTAAAAAATGCTGTGACTAGTGATGCTTTCCCCTACCAAATCAATGATGGACAGTCTTCCGACATTACAGTTTTTAGCACGATTCGGCATGGTTGCGACTGCAAGCAAGCAAGTACTAAAAGCAGTTCCACGTAACTATTACTAATGCAAAAGCCTAAATAGCAAGTGGAGCTGTACCGAACCACGGTGACTAGTGACTAGTGCAAAACAGGCCAAAGAATCATATCTCCTCAGAACAGTCCTACTTCTGCTTTTACTGTTCAGACAAATACTCTTTTTCCAAGCTCAGGCTGAACTAGTGATGAGCCACGTAGGAGAATGAGACACTTGTGTTTGCTTTTTATATGGCGGCTTGGGTTTTTGCTGGCGCCAGTTAATATCAGCCTGGTTTCGTTGCATCACTGGAGACCTGAATTCACACTTTTTCTGAGGCCTGTTCACTGTTTGAGTGTTCAGCACTCTAACTATGCCTTTTCCTACTCTGACTGAACGGACATGTGTTTCCCACTCAAGTTGAGCATACCTGCACATCTCCAGCATGGAGAGGTTCTCTGTTATGCAATGCATGGTCAAGACATACTGCACACTTTCGTGGAGTTTGTGAAGAGATAATAACTTAAATTGTGGTCTTCTCCAAGACCTGGAGCATAACATCCCTGAAAATAAGCAGTCTTCAAGCGGTGTAAATATTCTCTGGGAGGCTCATCTTTTTGCAAAACTGCAAAAGCTTTAAGAGTGGCAGTGGCGTCATCTCTGTAAACATAGTACTCTTTTCTTAGAGCCTGACAAGGAGCTGAATAGTTGTCACTAATTTCTGGAGGAAGGGTTTTTATGAACACTCTTAGCTGTTGTTTTCCAAATAAGCTTCAGCTTCTTCAGAAAATAAGGAAGACAAGAAGACAATGTTCAACCTCAAGCAGGTAAGCATCAATATTTGACTCCTGACTACCTGGATTATAAACCTTAATGTCCTTAGCAAGGGACTCAAACTGGTTAAAACAGACACTGTACTCACAAGGTGGACCATGTCCATCTGAAAAGTCAAGCTGGTTCGGTTCATGAAATGGTGGAAGATCATGATCTAAGAAAAGGAGTCCTCTCAAGATTTAAATGAGAGCTTTCCAATAAGTGGACTCGTGCCTGTGCTGGTGGGTCAGGTTGGAATGAGTAACCTGAGAAACACGTGTGCTTCTCCTGGCCCCTAGGGGTCGACACAGAGTCAGAAGGGACGGGAGTGCAGATTAGGTTGGAAGGCTGCTCGTTCTATCCACCTGGGCCACTGCAATCTGCTGAGTTCGGTACATGGTCATCTTGGTGGTTGTCCACTGCGATGGGATTTGGCAGGACACCACTGGAGACCATCAGACTTCGACCACTTTGAATAAATTTAGAAAGGAGAGACTCTGGCGTAGGTTCTGTGTTAGACACTGGATACCTGCTGTCTGGGTCCGTCTCCTGCTGTGACTGCTGCAGCTGCTGTGAAGGATTATGTAAATCTGGTACCTGAGAAGTGGGGGTATGCTTTTGAGATGCAGCTTTTCTGAGCTCATCTGGCTTCAGGTTCTCTAACTTTGCTCTAGCCTTCTCCATCCGCTCCTCAGCTTTTGAGAGTTCAAGCTTCACAGCATTCTCTCTTTGAAGAGCCATCTGATGGGCAGACTGCAACTGAGAATATCGTTCAGCTTCCAGTTGTGATTTCTGCTGATACAACAGGGTAATCTGACAAAGAACATCTGAAATCAGAGCGTCTCTAATCGGATACTTAGTGAAGTATCGCAGCAAGGTTAAACCGATTTAACCTACAAAACAACCACAAAGATATGGTAAGGCGTATTGGTCACTTCCCGTTTTCACTGTTGCACTAGGTGGATTGTTTGGTATTTGAAGGCTCTCTCGGTTCATTCTGATTCTGTTCAAATACATAAGCACATTAAAACACATATTTTCTGTTGCTGCATTTAACATTTGGGGACCCTCCGTGTCCAACACGATTTTTCAAGTAGTGGTAAGGGGTTGCTAGCTTAGCGTTAGCTCCACCATGGCTACCCATTCTGCTGTTTTTCTGAGTCTCCTTCTCTCTCCTGCTCTCTGTGTCAGATGTTCAGTTACTCATCTGCCTCCTTTAGTGATAATGGTACGTGTAATAAATGCAGCATTTTTGTAGCTTTGGAGGCGAGGGTGTCGGAATTGGAGGCTTGGCTCCACACTGTTAGAAAACCCAGCAGATAGCCGAGGCCCCTTAGCCAGCGCGGAGCCACCGAGGGTAGCTCCTCGTAGCAGTCCTTCAGCCGAGCCCACACAGCTGGGGCCTCAGGCCGGTTGGGTGACAGTACGTAGAAAGCATAGTCCCAGATCCCAGTCCGCAGATCACCACCAACACGTCTGCGTTTCTAACGGATTTTCCCCGCTCAGTGATACACCTGCCTAACACAACCCAGGGTTCAGACCAGGAAGCAGGGTCGTAGTTTAACACTCCTCTCTGCAGATTCTGTACTGCTACCCACCCATTACCCTATTAAGACAGTGTCTTGCCCATGACCAAAATTAAATAGATTAAAAGATAATCTAAAAGGAGGAAATCATGAAAATCTCATAAAAATAGACACAGCTCAGACTAAAAAGAAAAATAAAACAATTAAATGTTGCTTACTGAATAGATCTCTCTCTTCAAAGACTTCGCTAGTTAATGACCTGATTTGTGACAATCAGATTGATTCATTTCATCACACAGAAACCTGGGTGCAGCAAGAGGATTATGTTACTATGAATTACTATGAATACTATGAACTCCTACTAATTGTTTAATTTTCACATACCTCGAAATACGAGGTTTGAGTAGCATAGTAGGAGGAGTAGCATAGTAGGAGGAGTAGCAACCAGCTTTCAGTCTGATTTATTGATTAGTCCCAGACCAATTAATAGCTACAACTCTTTGGAATATTTAATTCTTAGTTTTCCTCTTCCAAATTGCAAAGCACTAAAACCACTTCTGTTTGTTGTTTTGTACCATCCACCAGGCCCCTACTCTCAATTTTTAGATCAGTTTTCAGACCTTTTATTTGATTTAGTGTTAAATACAGATAAGGGTTATTATAGTGGGGGATTTTAACATTCATGTTGACACTGAAAGTGATAGCCTAAATATAGTCTTTAATGCTATTTTAGACTCAATTGGCTTTGCTCAAAACATTAACAAACCTACCCGCCTTTGTCTTCGTTCTCTGGACCTTGTGCTGACACACAGTATGGCATTGAGTGTAAAGAAATAACAATATTTTCTCATAACCCTGTCCTGTCTGACCATTTTTAATAATCATAATCATAGGTTTTTCTTTAGTACAGTTGCTAAACTTACACAGAGTCATAGCTCTATTGAGCCATCCATTCTCTTAGGTCTCAGCAGTCATGACCTAATGGGATTCTTTTTAAATAAAATTGATTCTATTACAAACAAAATCATTGGCATACTCCCAAAGATGATTACTTCATCCTCAGTATTTGAAGTAACTGTAGAAGCTGTAGAAGCTGATCTGTGTTCAGACTGTTTTGATCCTGTGGAGCTTCCTAAGTTATCAAAAATATTAGCTTCATTAAGGAAGTGTTCCCTCTGATTACCAGCCCCATTTTAGATATGATTAATCTATCCTTAGTAATTGGATAGGTACCACAAGCTTTTAAGATAGCTGTAATTAAACCTTTACTTAAGAAACCTTCACTTGTTTAAGATGATTTAATAAATTACAGACCTATATCCAATTTTCCGTTTTTATCTAAAATTCTTGAGAAAATAGTTAATAGCCAATCAAATGTGCAAGCATCTACACAGCAATGATGTTTGAAGAGTTTCAGTCAGGTTTCAGAGTTCATCATAGCACTGAAATAGCTTTGCTGAAAGTCACTAATGGTACTTGGTATACTTGGTATAATGGTACTAGTCCTATTAGATCTCAGTGCTGCATTTGATACAGTCGATCACAATATTCTCTTAGAAAGGCTGGAATATGCTGTAGGGATCAGGGAAACATCACTAGGCAGATTTAAATCTTATTTGTCTGACAGATTCCAGTTTAATAATGTAAATGATAAATCATCTTCAAACCCCAGGGTTAATTGTGGAGTACCACAGGGTTCAGTGCTTGAGCCAATTCTCTTCATTATATAATATATATTATATAATATATATATATTATATATATATATATATATATATATATTATATATATATATTATTAATGGGTTCAAATAGGTAAATTATCAGATAGCATAGGATAAATTTTCACCGTTAGGCTGATGATACTCAGCTTTACTTATCCATAAATCCTGATGAGCCCAACCAGTTAGATAGACTACAAGCATGCCTTGAAGACATAAAAAACTTGGATGACTTTAAATTTTCTGCCTCTAATTTCAGACAAGACAGAAGTTGTCGTCTTTGGACTGGAGTCTTTGAAAAAGAAACTGCTCACATAACCTGGATGGCATTAAATTGAACTCTGGTAATAAAGTAAAAAACCTTGGTGTTATTTTTGACCAGGACATGTCATTTGAATCCCATATTAAACAGGTTTCAAATATTTCCTTCTTTCACCTCCGGAACATTGCCAAAATTAGAAATATCCTATACAGGAGTGGGCTGCACGGTGGCGCAGTTGGTAGCACTGTTGCTTTGCAGTGCTAGAAGTGCTAGAAGCAAGAAGGTCCTGGGTTCAATTCCCGGCCGGGGGTCTTTCTGCATGGAGTTTGCATGTTCTCCCCGTGCATGCGTGGGTTCTCACCGGGTACTCCGGCTTCCTCCCACAGTCCAAAGACATGCTTGTTAGGTTAATTGGTCACTCTAAAATTGCCCTTAGGTGTTTGAAGGAGTGTGTGCATGGTTATTTGTGTGTTGCCCTGCGATGGACTGCCGACCTGTCCAGGGTGTACCCCGCCTCTCGCCCATAGACTGCTGGAGATAGGCACCAGCTTCCCCGCGACCCACTATGGAATATGTGGTAGAAAATGACTGACTGACTATCCAGGAGTGACGCTGAAAAACTAGTCCATGCATTTGTTACTTCAAGGCTGGACTATTGTAATTCTTTACTTTCAGGATGTCCTCAAAATGCTGCAGCAAGAGTTCTGATGAAAATTAAAAAGAGAGATTAGATTCATCCTATTTTAGCTTCCCTTCACTGGCTCCCTGTTAAATCCAGAATAAAATTAAAAATTCTCCTTCTCACATATAAAGCCCTTAACGATCAAGCTCCACCATACATCAGAGATCTGAGTGTTCCATATATTCCTAACAGTTCCTTTGTTCTCAGACTGCAGGTTTACTGGTGGTTCCTAGAGTCTCTAGAAGTAGAATGGGAGGCAGATCCTTTAGTTATCAGGCTCCTCTACTGTAGAACCAGCTCCCAGTTTTAGTCCGTGAGGCAGACACCCTGTCTACCTTTAAAGCTAGGCTTAAAACTTTCGTTTTTGATAAAGCTTATATTTAGAGTGGCTTAGGTTATCCTGAGCTATCTCTGTAATTACACTGCAATAAGCTCAGGCTGCTGGAGGACATAATGACCACTTTCACTCTTTCACAACCCCGCACCATTCCAAACCCTTTGTGAAGTGCCTTGAGACGACATGTGTTGTGAATTGGTGCTACATAAATAAAACTGAACTGAATTGAATTTGAAATGAAAATTCCTAAAATAAACAACAGAACACACATCTAACAAATTTATGTACAGCTCTGTATGTATCTTTGACTATACATATATTGCAAACATTTTTATGAGTGTAAAAACATGCGCAAAGTTTGACAGTATAATTTGTGACTCATGACAACACTATGTTTTAAGTTATTAGAATGCTACTGCTTTCTCCACGGGTATTTTGTGATTTAGCATTATCCTTCACCTTTCTCTGGGATAGACTAGTGATTAGACACTATTCTTCAACTTTTTGTTCAAGGATGTTTTGAGATTTAGCATTATTCTTGACCCCCCTTTATAGCAGGGTGGACTATATTTTACATGGAAAGGAAAAAGGAAAGAGAAACCTTCCTCAGGGTAATACTTGCAATTTGTCTGTTGATACACCCCTTTTTATAGCAGGGTGGATTTGATTTAATTAGGAATTTAATCTGGCAGTACATATGTTCTTTACAAAACACAAAACAAACCCGTAAAGTTCCTGAATAGAAATATGTATCGAAATCTGAGGTCAGACACATAAATTAACTGCAAAGTTAATTCAGTTTCAAATTGTGGTCTTCCACAAAACACAGCCTCTGGATACAGATGTGCAGGAAACTGTCTAAACAGTGATATTAACTGTGAAGTTAAACCAATTTTCAAGCTATTGCTCACACAGAAGAAACCAGACTGAGTCAAAACATAGAGAGATTTCATTAATGACCAGTGATGGCTGATTTTAAGCCCATCACATGGTGCATCTATAATGTGGAGTTGTGGTTATTTATTCTCATATATGTACAATATAAGCTGTTTAAAATAATGCCCACCCAGGGACACCAAAATGTTGAGATGATTATTATTATGAATATATTACTTAATATTCATATCTTAATATTTTGTTAAATAATAACTGTTTGTTAAGTGTTGTCTGGTGAATACCACCCCATTAAGGCGGTGATATTAGGACAATATGGAAAAGGTTGAGCCAAACTCTGACATTACTAAATCGCAAAACTCCACACACACATGGAATAAATTCACTCAATTTCTTAAAATACAAAACTTTATTAACAAAAATAAGTCAACTCAAAGTCAAACAAATTTCAATCAACAAACTCTTTTCAATGCTAGAACAATCCAACTAAACTACCAAGGATTATCTTGAGAAATCTGAAAATGAAGTTAAGTTAGTCTTGGAGGGGATTTCAAGATGGCGGCATAGGGAAAAGTTGGATCAGGGAGTACTGGCAAAACAATTCACTGATAACTTCACTTAACACTACAAAAGACCACTATCCCATTCACTCAGCAATTGACCAGCTCAAAATGAGGATTAATAGCTACTTTTTGAGGCAAGACATGTGGCCACAGAGGAAAAAACCCTGTTTTGGATGCCTCTGACTAACAATGAGCTAGCATGGTGGGAGAGGAAGCCAGTGAAGCTAGTGCTTGTAGCAGAGTATCAGATGAGCACAGGTCAGGGGACAGATACTGGACTTCGTGCTGGTTTTGGTGAAGTGGTGTATGAGGTGATGGCAATGTAACTAAAGCTATGGATGAAAGGTGTGCCCCGGGATTCGAGATGTTAAAAAAGCACAGTGATACACTTGATGGCCGTGAGAAGAGATGGAATAGAGGATTGTGGCCTTGGAGGATGCAGCAGATTCCAGTCAAAATCAAGGTCGAGGTCTTGAAGAGGACTGTGGATTCTTCGGCCGAGCGTATAGATGACTTGAAGAATAGGGGGTGCAGGAAGAATGTCCAAATACAGGTAATACCCAAAAACATGAAAGGGGCTAACCCCACGCACTTTTTTGAGAGCTGGCTCCCTGAAGAGCTTCACATTAAAACAAAGGATGGACTGATCAAACTGGTGAGAGCACATCGCACGCTTCCCCCAAAGCCCTTATCTTCGCAGAGTCCAAGACCAGTGGTTGCACGCTTTCACGACAACCAAGACAAAAAACGCGTAATTGATGCCGCCTGGGAACTAGCAAGGAAGAATCAACATGTGATACACGGGGATTCCACGGTAATGTTCTTTCAGGAATTTTTCTGCCGCTGTTGTTCATAAGAGGAAAGGATTCAATGCAGCGAAGATACGGCCTCTTGCTTTTGGTGCAGGAAACAGGCTGCGCTACCCGGCTAAACTGAAGATAATCTACCGTGGATCAAGAAAAGTGTTTGATAATCCTGCTGCGGCAAAAGACGTACACTTGCTGGACAGTGGCACCACTGTTGATGGTGAGTGATGCCAGGAGTGTTCTACATGGTGCAGATTACCTCAGGCTGTCATCTGAATGTAGGTTGAATGGAGCTTTAAAGCCACAAAGAACTGTGTAGGAGAAGAGGGGCTCGGCCTCCCGGTAGCATGGCCCGGACTCATGTTCTTTGTACCGCTAGGGATCCCACTCACTTGATCCTCTCTTTATCTTAGAGGGGGACAGTGTTGCTTGAGCTTGACAGGCACATTACCACAGTTAGTGTACCTTAAATACACAGATTTATGTCCTGATTGTTCATTGTATGTTCTTTCTGTCCCTATGTTCAATATAATGTTTGTGACTTTGAGCTTTGACATATGCCTTGTTATCTTACTTTCAAACTACTTCTTTTCATATGTTAGGGTTGTTGTTGCGGACCAAAGTGCAGAGACAGGCGAGGAGACAACATGGCGAGGCAGACATGATTCATTTAAGTCCAAACTTTATTTAAGTCAAAACTCAAAGGCAGACAGGCAGGTTAAAACAAGTACATCTAGGTCTCCAGGTCAGAGTACTAACTAAAGTAGCTAGACATAGCGAAGGTGGCACAAAGAGAGACGACGAGACAAATGGACAAACTAATATACAGAGGGTAAAAAAGCGTAGGTAATCAAAAGAACTAGGAACAGGTGTGACATGGAAGCAGAGAGGCTGAAGAAAACAGGTGAAACTAATACAAAGACTAAAGCTTGGGAGAAGGGACTAATAAACAATAAAAATAACAGACCTAAGCAAAACTATAGACAAAGATAATAAACCTAATGAAGCATAAGAATCAGGAATAACCATGAACTAAAGGAAACTGAGAAACTGGAAGGGACAGAAGAAACACAACAACCTAAGATCTAAGAAACTGGCAAAATAAGAATTAACAAAAGAAACCATAAAGAAACCCAACTACAAAAGTAAAAAAACCTAAACCAACACTGACTGAACTAACAGGGAAGGAAGCAGAGAAAGCGAAGACTAGAATGAATGTATACCAAACGTAAACAATAACTAAAGCTAACCTATCAGGAAGGACTGGAAGACTAGAGACTAACTTGAGGAACTAAGCTAGAGAACTATAATAATAGTAATAGTAACAATAATAATAATAATAATAATAAAGAGAAAACCATTCTAAGTAATAAATAAGAAAACAACACCAAGGGAACTAAGGGCGAGGGGAGAAAGAACTACAAAACACTAGGAAGTAGGAAAGAGAACAGAACTATCAGGAAACAGAAAGAAATAAACAACATGACTACAAAACCCAAAATAAAAACATCTAGCTGAAAGTAAACACACCACAAAATCACAACCAAAGGTCAGGAGGACCCTCCAGGAACTAGTTCAGGGAGACGACCTCGGAGGAACCCTGGAGGCTTGAAGTCAGGCTGTGGGTCTGGCTGTGAGTCTGGCGTCTCTGGCAAAATGTCGGTCAGGCCTGGAACAAAGTCAGTTAGGCCAGATACACAGTCAGGAGGACAAGAAACACAGTCACAGGGCCCTGGAACCAGAATCAGAGGCAGCCCAATCTCAGACTCCTTTAGAACATGGATTAGAGGTGGTTCGGCCTCGAACCCCTCTCGAAACTCTGGTACATGGATTAGAGGCAGTTCGTCCTCGAACCCCTCACGAAACTCTGGAACATGGATTAGAGGCAGTTCGTCCTCGAACTCCTAACGAAACTCTGGAACATGGATTAGAGGCGGTTTGTCCTCGAACCCCTCTGGAGCAGGGAGTAGAGGCGGTTCGTCCTCGAACCCCTCTGGAGCAGGGAGTAGAGGCGGTTCGTCCTCGAACCCCTCTGGAGC